AAAAAGGCGGTTGCTAACAAGTGGCTATAAACACGGAGGCTGTTGAGGAGATTAAATGTCATCACGCCGAACAGGTAAACTACAGCATCATTATGCTTATAATTGTGCTCTTATAAACTATTCTAATTCGAACGTTCTGGGGGAAAAAGTCTTTTAGATAAAAACTGAAAGAGTTGTCGGAGGCTTAGTGATGGTGACGTTAAAATCGTGGGACCGTGGTGTAGTAGTAAACCCTACCGTTAACTTTTTACTTCTGGTGACAGCATTTAGTCTTCAAAATTCATAAAAGTTGTGTTCATCTGTGATGATGATCTTGATGGACAAAGCGTAAAAGTATCATAAACTTTTGTTAATCTCAGAGCTTGTTTTTTTTTTGCGATACTCCAAAAGTCTATAGGAAAATCCTATTGGGTTTTTGTCGAGGGAACCAGTGTGATGCTAATTGCCGGTTGGCCTACACAGTGACATCATACTTACACCACTCTATTTCACTTCCACAACATACACGCGTCAAAGTAGCCGGAGCAACTTTTCTCCATTAACAGATATGACGAGACACGCAGTTGAGTGACGTATACGTGATTTTACGCAAAAACCATCCCGTCGGGTCTGAAATATAAACGCTTAGGCCGTGTGTCCACCAAAGCGTTTTTAGCCAGCTGAAAACGCTAGACGCTCTGCTGAAGACGCCTAGCTGTGGGCGCGTGAGAGCGTTTTGGCAGCACAGCGTTTTTTCCATTGAGACGTTTCGTTGCTATGATACAGAATATCCGCAGCACAGTTTACTTGTAACTGATTTCGCAGATAATTTTCATACTAAAAAATAATTTTTCATCCAGTTTGTTCGGATAGCTCTGCTGGTTGATGTCGTTGTACAGAAAGAATGTTGTGACAGTTGGTCGGTGTGGTGTTAGTCCCGCCCCTCCTCCACTGTGATTGGACGGCTGGGTAAAAAGTGACAGTGATGTGCGCTGCGTTTTATCCAAAGTTGAACATTTTTCAACTGTCGGCGACCAGTAAAAAACGCCGGGCGCTCGGCGCTTCAGCGTGAAAAAAACGCTCAGCGCCTCGTTACGCTCATGGCGTTTAAAAAACGCGGCGCTCCCATTGAAAACATACGCCAGGTGCGTGGAAAAACACTTTGGTGGACACACGGCCTTAGGCTTACATAATGAATGAACACGTTTTAGAGGGAGGATTTATTATGATGCATTGACTCATTTTTTTTTTTTTGTACAATTTTGAACAAAAACAAAAAAGTTATTTAGGCTACCGTTAGTTATTTAAAAAAAAAAATAATTAATTTAATTTAAGCTCGATTTAGTAAAGGCTTTTTTCGTAAAACTACTTCAATTTCTTGGAATTTTCTGTTTTTCTCCCAATATATGTTCACTATTGTATTCAAAACCACTATAATGGTCACACTTTACATCTAACCTAAAATTCTCTATTTAATAATAATGTTTGGGTACACATACAGACAGACAACACAAACACCAAAAGCACCATCAACAAACTCTCTAGCATATTTAGCAAACTCTATAAGCAGAAAACCCTCATCTTAAGCATTTACATCATTGTTGTGGCATTGTTGCCCTCTGCTGGTGATATTGCGCACTGAACCGACTCAGCCCTGCCTCCTGCATTATCTGCTCATTAGTGGCTTCACATATAATACACAAAAACTCATGCCGCAAACACACACACACACGCACATAGTCTGACCTCCTTGGTGAAACCACCCACTCTCTGCAACTACTAAAATATTTATGCTGCCCTGATAATATGTTTTCTTTTATCATCATCAACCCCTCATAAACTAATTTCTCTCTCGCACACACACACACACACACACACTGTTCAAGAAAAAAAATCTACTTATTAATTTTATTTAATGACAATGAAATGCTACAAAATCACTAAATTAACACATACAAGTGTGTGTGTGTATGTATATGTGTGAAGAGTGCTGTGTAAATCATGCTCGTATTCCATCAGTCTAGACTGATTCTGCAGTCCTGGCAATATAGAGGCAGGAGTCTGTCTGCTAACAGAGAAGCTAGTGCTTATTCAGCAGGAAAGCAGTGGTGTAGTGCTCCTCTGAGACCTCTCATTTTCACACACAGACACCAAAGGCCTACGAGAGCCATAGGTTAAAGCCGTATCACTTTGCATTCCGACGCTTCACAGATGGCATACATGCAAAGGAATGCAAATGTGTTTATCTACAGTAGCATACGCTGCTCTGTCTACAGCCTGGCTTCTTTGAGTTTGTTCTTGTTTACAGAGGTGTGAATTCATCCAAGAGGTTTTAGCTTAATGAGTGTATAGGTTCAGCTAATGATTTTACGACCTTCTGTGTAGTTACAGATATGAATGCTGGTTGAAAAACCAAGCCTAGCTCGATTCCCTTGCTCTTTCATTAGAAGCAAGAAATTATTTTATTTTAGGAAATGTATGTGTGGGTCTCTCTCTGAGTTATATGTGAATGTGTTAGTTTGTGTGGTTTAAAGCTGAAATGTATAATTTCAGCACCACTAGCGTTACCAAGTACCATTGATATACTATTTTAGTTTTGTTCATATTTTGAAATAGATTTTATTTTTATATATAATTTTAAAATTTTGTTAAAATTTGATTCATTTTGTTCTTTATTCTTAGTTTTTTTATATTAATTTTTTTAATGTTTTAGTTTTTAGTTGATATATTTGTGTACTTCAGCATAAATAAAATGTAAAAAAAAAAGTATACTTTATTTTTTTCAGTTAATGTTTATTTTATTTCAAGTAATGAAAATGTTTTTTAAAATGGTTTTAGTTTTAGTTAACAATAATAACCCAGGTGCGATTGTTTTCAAAGAAAGCAAACCATTTCAAGCTAAATTTTACAAAAATAATTTTGTTAGGTTTTAAATTATAAAACTACATATGTATGCATGTATTTTCTGGTTGTGTTATATTAGTAGAACATGTTCATAGTAATTTTGGAAGAAAAAAAAACCTGTGGTTAATCTGCTGTCAACTGTGTTATATATTGATGTGAAAGCTGAAATGTGTAATTTCTGTGGCACAAAAAAAAAAAAAACTGTTTTCAAATCGATATCCCTGAATAATCTCCCTGTCTGCCATTGGATAATAATCAGCTGGTTGATCTGTGTATTAAGGAGGTTTAGGAGGAAGTCATTTAAAAGGAATAGTTCACTCAAACATAAAAATGCTGTCATAATTGTCATCATCCTCATGTCGTCACAAAACCTCTATGACTCTCTGTCTTTCATGGAACATAAAATAATATATTCAGAATATTTTGTCCATACGATAAAAGCCAGTTTGGTTACCAAAATTCTTCTAAATATCTTTTTTGTGTGTTTCACAGAGAGCAGGTCAACCTACACAAGCTCCACTTAAATAATCCACAATTTGTCAGTACCTGCATGTACCTATTACGATTATGTATTTTGCACAGAATAGAAAAAGATGAGCAACACATCAAAAACCTGTGACAATGTGGCATGTTACCATGGCAATATTTGGGCCTCCTTTAGCGTGTTGCCAGGTAGATTATTTGGTCCTGTCCTTTTCGTCTCCAGACTCCTGCCCTTTTTTACTTTCCTCTCACACCACCATGAATGTCATCAAGTTCTCTCCCTATTTCCTCCCCCAGTCCAATGTCCCTCTTTCTGTCCCACTACTTTTGGACCACCTATCCGCTTCTCATTCTTAAAACCCTGCCTTTCTTCATTTATCCAAACACTTTATTTTCCCTTCCTCCTGATGACCTCCCTTGTTCTCTTTCAAATAAAAACGTCAAAAACTCAGCATCCTCCTCTCAAGATGCATTCCTGCTTTAATAACATCCCCTCTTCCAGTTTGTATTTTTTTAAATCATATCTCTCCATCTCTCCATACGGACACTTTCCATATACCGTAAAACTGAATGCAGTAAACCTGAACACATTTGTGTTCTCTGAAGTCCCTGAGTGTTAATGTGTAAATGTGCGACTCAAACGCATATGTATGAATTTGAACTTGATAAACTAAACGATAAACCATGATATAAACAGGGATGTTAAAGCTGGAAGTTTAATATTGATCTCTGATTTTAAATGGAGGTTTTTTATACACCTGTATGCACTGTTTGACTAATGTAAGCCAGTAATGGGCTCTTTGGCAAAATTCGATTTAGTTAAATCTACTTAGTCTTACAAAAACAACAACAAAAAAATCCTTTGGCACTAGCAGCACAGCTCCTCAAAAACTTTAAAAACAAATATAAAAATTAAATACAATTCTCAAAAATCATATCACCATTCCACACATTTTCTTCCACGGCAAATTTCAGCAGTAATCCCTTTCTGCCTCTTTGCAAAACCTTCGCTACATTTCAAGGTGGCAAATAAAGTGGTTAAACGTGTTGCTATGGGAACACATTCCCTGGCAACCCTGGGCAGCCCGGCAACGTGCCAAGCGGTTGCTAGGGCAGAGTTGTCAATCACGTCAGAGGGGTTAGTGTGTATGCCAGGCATGTTGGTGGGACTGAGAAAACAGAGAGATATACACACACAGCTCTGGTCATCTGCAAAATATTGAAGGTCAGCTGGCATTGTAAGTGCACAATGGAATGCCAATGACATTCAGGAACAATCAGAAATATTCAGAGCAACTTGACGTCAAATGAAGATGCTTCGCTTGACAATGTAAGAAACGAGCGAGTAGCAAAAGACGAATGGGAGGTGGTTCAAAAAATATTTCTATGATAAAAGCTGACTCATAAGGAGACCTACAAACCATGGCAGAAATATGAGAGATATGCGGAGGAACATGCAATAGTCATAAAGGAACTCATAATAAACAATAACAAAATAACTATTTGGAGCCGCCAAACAAAAGGCTGAGAACAGGTTCTAAGAGTTTAAAGTTTCGGTTCAATGGTGGGTTTCAGCTCAATTGTGTGAGCACTGTAGATATAGATAACAAGGGCGGAGAGGAAAGTGTGGTTACCTGATCTCTGACCAGCTGGTCTGCTTTGAGCTGTATATTTCGCATGAGGATTGAACACCTGAAGTCCCTGAGGAGGACCAGAGCAGATCTCAGGTGATGCCTCCCTGCTTCTGAAAAGAAGCGAAGGTTCAAAAAATATAACAAATACACATATTAATAGCATTGTACTTACAGTGGCCACAGAAACAGTTTGAGCACTTTTGGACAAAAACTCAAAAATGTTGCATTCGATTTCAAAACAACTGTTCATTTTCATAACTTTTTTCTCAGAACCACACAACCATTCAAAAGCTAGGGGTCATTACAATTTTGGTAACACTTTAGTTAAGGGTCCAATTCTCACTATTAACTAGATGCTTATTAGTATGGATATTACTAGGATATTGATTGTTTATTAGTGCTTATAATGCACATTTTAATGCCTTATTCTGCATGACCATATTCTACATCCCTTAAAGCTGCTGTAGGTAACTTTTGAAAAAATGTATTTGCTAAAACTGTCATTATGTCCTGACAGTAGAATATGAGACAGATAATCTGTGTAAAAATCAAGCTCCTCTGGCTCCTCCCAGTGGTCCTATTGCCATTTGCAAGAAATACACGCTCCCGGTCAGAAACAACCAATCAGAGCCATGAGGAATGTCTTAGAAGTGTCAGTCACGCTCGTGTACGCGCTGATCACACCCCTCTCTTGCACAGCGCGAGCGCCGGAGCGCGAGCCGTCGTTCAAACTCAAGATTGCCGGCGTGCTGCAGCTGTGCTTATGACGGAGAAACAACCTAAACTGCCAATTCTCGAGTGACACCTGCTCATAAAACAAAGAGATAAAAGGAAAAAGACTGATGACGATAACCAATCGAAAAAGAAAGAATTACACAGAGCCCATTGACTCGGTGTCAAAACTCTAGCCGCATAACATGTAGATAAAATGTCACGCACTCTGCTAAGCAACAATTGAAACCTGCTAATTCACTGGCTTGTCATGTTGCTGAAATAATGTACTAGCACACCTTATCTAGCATTATATATCACTAGAATAATTACTTACATACTGTAACGTTAGTTACCGTTATATTAACGTTATCTTACTAGCTATTTATAACTTATAGAAAGAGTGCAACGTTATAAAGTTACATGTAGGCTATTGCAAAATACATAATGATTTGAGGACCAAGTTTGTAGTCAACAGTGTTGGGAACGTTACTTTAAAAAAGTAATTAGTTATAGTTACTCACTACTTGTTCCAAAAAGTAACTGAGTTAGTAACTGAATTACTCTATAATAAAAGTAACTCGTTACCAGGGAAAGTTTGCGTTACTGTTAAAAAAAAAAAGTTGCTATATGTCAAAGAATTTTGATTTTTTTTTAGCAGTTTTCACAAGTCAGTTGAAATGAGTAGAACAGACAGGTGTTTGTACATAACTTTCTATATTTATTGCACGTCGACACGACAGACAGCAAGAGGTTTATCCTGCACTTCACTTCACTGCACTTATTAACCCACCTCCTCACTAGCTGTGTGAGCCAGGGGTGCGTTCGGATTACACAGTTTATTCAATCAATACATTGACTCGTGACAAAATCGCGAGTGCGTTTTTGTGCGTTACTTTGTACCCACCAGTTTTAGAAACAAATAAATAAAACATCTCCAGTTAACTAGCAGAGCATTCATTTAGTTCGCTATTAAATAAGAGATGTTTTGTTTTTGACCTCAAGCTGAGCGCTCGTTGCCGCAGCTGCATTTGTTCTCTTGTGGCGCGCGCGCAGTATTCACTCGGACGCGCTCTTCAATCTATCGCCGTTGTGGAGAAACTATTCATTCCGGTAAAATCACAAAATAAAATGCACTCAACCGTCCCGTGTCTCTGCTTGATATAGACTGTAACCACTGATGAACATATTCAGTTTTGATGAGAGAAAAAAAAAAAACTATTCGAGCGTGGATTAGAAACTGTAACCTCTGACACGCTTGGCAAAAGTTCTACCACTAGACCATTCAAGAACTCACACAATAATTGTGGATCGATGGATTTATTTACGGGTTGAGCAGAGAGGCTCCACAGTTTGTAGGCTGCCCAGCATTTCTGAAAATGCACTTCCGAATGCATCTCTGTCTGTCCCCAGCACATTTCAAACCAAACTGACGCCCGTGGTAACGCATCGCATTTAACGTCCAGTAACGTTAACGGCGTTGTAACGACGGGAAAAGTAATTAGTTAGATTACCCCGTTACTGAAAAAATATCGTCGTTACCTAACGCCGTTCTTTTAAACGGCGTTATTCCAAACACTGGTAGTCAAAGTATGGGCAGGCCATAGTCAATGTAAAGCATTTATTGACGTTTAGTCCCTATTAGTGAATGTGCCATATAACTTTTTATCCGCTGTTATCGGTGGCCCTGTTTACTAGCCTGCGCGTTCACGACAGGCTCCGCTGTGGAGGACGAGCTGTGGAGGGAGGGCTGTAGCGCAGCAGAGAGCAAGGGGGTGGGACCTGTAAGTTGTGCTTGTTCAAATTTTCAGGCTACGTCAACGTTTTCTCAAAACTGCCTACTGCAGCTTTAATGCTTAATCCTACCCAATACATACATTTAACAACTACCTTACTAACTATTAATAAGCAGTAATTAGGAGTTTATTGAGGCAAAAGTCATAGTTAAAAAGTATCACGGTTTACAGAAAAAGTTTCACAACATTCATAACAATAAGAAATGTTTCTTGAGCAGCAAATCAGCATAATAGAATGATTTCTGAAGGATCATGTGACACTGAAGACAGGAGTAACGATGCTGAAAATTCAGCTTTGCCATCACAGAAATATATTACACAGTAAAATCATGTGTAATGTTTTTGTGGAAAGTTTTGTTCGAAAATAGTCTTTCTTCAAAAACAATCCTACTTTGTTTTATAATTAAAAGGCATTCATATATTTTTTACACGTGGTCTGTCCATCCAAATTCATTTTGGAACCACAGTAAATTTGAATGATTGAATTAATAATTCTTATGCAACAAAATCAGCTTGAAGTTATTTTCTGCTCTTTTGCTTGCACGCATGTGTTCTCATTTTTATCCAGACACCCAGGGTTTTCCCCTGACGCATCATCTTACCCAGATAATTGTGACATCATGCCAAGAATGCACATAAGTGTTTAAATATAGACAAACTCCAGCCCCAGATCTCTGGTATGTAATTCATATTTTATGTCTGTTTTGACAGGCTTCTGTGTTCATCTGCATGAGAAAAAAAAAAGAACCCTTCCGCCTGGCAGTAATCTAATCTGCACACAGCATATTAAACAGGTCACATACAGGTCAACGCTCACGACGGAAATAAACTGAAATGAAAGGAGCAGTCAGAAACCAAACTAAGTTCGTTTTCATCACCCATTATCTTCATTTATGCGGCTATCTGGGAGAGAAAACCAAACAAATTCTCTGTTCCAGGCCAATTTCATAGTCTGAAGCATAACGTATCTAACGCCATTAAATAGAGCAACATAAATTCCCATGAGCTGTTATTCTGTTCCACATACTTTGTGTCCTAGGGTGAGAACAGAACCCACGCTAATCTTATCAGTCCTGACGAGGACTCACAGCGAGTCACAACAATTCTCCGAGGAGAGGAGGAATCATGCTGCAGTTCTGGCTAGAAAGGATTAATTTCAAAGGCTTGTCAGGCCTTAGTTCACTGGAGTCAAGTGTAAATAGGACTTATGTTATGCTTGATAGTCCTTTTACTATCCATGATTGCCAAAGTGGTCCTTCTATATGTAATGGTTATGAACTTTTGTTATGTCTTCTCATAATTTCTGTCATGTCTAGTTCAGTTCATTTGCCCTCATTGTGTCTCCTTATTAGTTAACCATTCGCACCTGCTTCTGTTCTCCCTGATTATGGTCTCCCTCATTAGTCCCCTTATAAAGTCTCCCTGTTCTGTTCAGCACCTGGTCGGTGATTGTATATGTTACCCTGTGTGCAGGGGCGGACTGGCCATCTGTGTGATCTGGAGAATCACAGAACGGCCGGTACTCCAGGAGGGCCGGCGGGCCGGCCCACCACCCGCCAGTGCCACCCGCCACACACGCAGTCACAGACATCCCAAGTCTCCCAGAAATTCCGGGAGTCTCCCGCATATTGATAGCGGCTCCCTGAGTCCCGCAAATTAGTTAAAATCTCCTGGAATCTAGAGCGAGCAAGAGCGCACATGCGTAGCACGCGCTCGGCAGAGGGAGCGAGCGAGAGACCTTGCGTGTGTGTGCGCGTGTGCCTCACGAAGCGCATGTAAGGACCCAACCAATCAATTGTCAGTGCGGACGGGCTTTTATCTCTACTACTCCCGAATCGAATTAATCAGAAATTACTTTGCAAGTTACTTAATTGCTAGGGATGACGTTAGGAAGTGATATTCAGCGTGCTACATTTTTAATGATTACAGTAGTTAAAACAGCTAAACTTCAACATTTTAGCTGTAAAATTCCACATGCAGTAGCTAATATTAAGAAATATGTTGTGCTTTTACTTTTAAAAATGTTGGTAACGTTACAGTTGATGCTTACAAACTTTGAAGATTTTGAATACAGAAGTTACATTTGTAATGGTGTATTTTCATTTAGATGTGGTATTATTATTTGTGCAGTAGCTTATATCATGTTTATTTCAGACTCATAAAAAGGTCCATAAGAACATACAAGGGAGACAGACAGACAAATAAAAACAAAGGATTACTATAATCCATATAAACAATAAATAAACAAAATTAATTACTGCATAAATGAATTAAGATTATTAAGTAATACATTCATTTTAAGACACCATGGAATAGATTGTATTATATGCTGTTAGCTATAATTTGGATGGTATAGTATCATGAGCCACAATTAAATTTGTGACACTCATGCCAGGCGGCAGGCGTTATTGTTGTTGTTGTCGAGTTTCCGCGCACCGATTGCTTTGGGCCGGGCCTAGTCAAAGTCCAGGGCCGTTTTTTAGTCCCAGTCCGTCCCTGCCTGTGTGTGCGCCTGTACTCTTCGTCTTCCAGGATTAAATAGCAATTGTTTGGATTATCTTCGTTTCTGTGAACTCTATTGAATTGACCACACGCAGTACTGTGACACTATACACATATTTATATGATTATGTTAATAGTTTTGGTGGTATCTTTAGGGATCAGACGGCAGATCACAATTGCACTGTCAAAATAAACCAATGTGACAAGATGGTCTGTAATCACTTTTTCTGTCTCAGCTTTTCTGTCTTTTGATTGGTGGAATACTATTGTGTTTTTCTCTATTATTAAGTCTTTACCAAAACTGAAATCTAAAAAAAAAAAAAAAAAATACAACTAACTTCTAAAACTAGAAATAACATCCATTGTTCCAATGCTTTACTCATCTGTCACAATAATTGAATGTCTTTAAATTATCTTTATTTGCAGGCTTTTCTCAACAAATACTGATATGCGGTTAAAAACAATTAATATTTCAGCATATATAATGTTTATATAGCAAATCAGCATATTAGAATGACTTTGCTGGAGGATTATGTGACACTGAAGACTGGAATAATGATGCTGAAAATTCAGCTTTGATCACAGGAATAAATTACATTTTAAAATACATAAAAATAGAAATGTTTTTTTAATGGTATTTTTTTTTAATTAAATTAAAATTATATTTTTTTATCCAATTACATTTTAATCAATTAGCATCATTAATTTAAAGCGAAGTAAAATAAAGTGCTTTCATTTTCTCTAAAAGCCCATTTTTAAGCGACTATTCTTATAATCAAATTGTGCAGTTCTATTCTTTCCACTAAGCATTCATCTGAAAATCTGCTGGTAGCTGCTCTTATCACGAGCACAAGCCCCGTTTACACAAGGGACATCATAGATCCTTTCATTTTTTTTCCAAGGCAGAACTGTGCCACGGATACATTCATCTGTGCCTTTTGTTTGTGTGTGTGCGCCTGTGCCTCCCCATAACTGTGCCGGTACCCCTGCATACAACGGATGTATAGAACCTTTTGTACCTCATTTTTAGAGAGGAAATGTCGCTCCATCTTTCCCCCCTCGGTTGGCCCCTCACGGGTAATGCCTGATTGACCAAAGCACCTCTTAAAGGGGTCAAAGGGCAGACAAAACAGTCTGGTGTCATGGCAACCTGACTCTCGGCAACCAGAATGATAGGGTAGGCAGGGAGGGCTTTGAACAGGCTGTCCGTCAAATTATTCTCAAATCCCTCTGCTGGTTTTCAGATAGGAACACACAGACAAACAGAAAAGTGTGATGATTGACAAGCATTTTTTTGAAAGCATTAAGGATAAAGAGAATGAAGACTCTAAATAAACAAAATAAATATAATATTTAAAAATCATACAACCATCATACATCGAAAGTATCTAAGAAAGTACATTCGTCACAATGCACAGATCAGCTCATTTCACTTTATGTAAAGAAAGTGCAAAACGGTCAAATTTTCAGTATATTTGTGTATATATATATATATATATATATATATATTTTCAGTATACATCAAATATTGTGCACGTGGCTCCTTTAACTCACACAGCCAATTGCATCAATTAATTCTTTTTTTTTTCTCTCACACTCACCACTGCATGATATACAGATTTCCCATTTCCTGAATGTTAATATCTTATGCTTGAATATTGACTTTTATAATCTAATTTATGTTTCTCTGCTGGTGTGCAGCAATATGTAATTTTGTACCACGCTGCCAAATAATGTGACCTCACAACACATGACCAACAGTATGCGAGATGTCAATTAATTCAGGGAAAAAAGCAGGACAAAAGAAAAACTAAAGCTGTTGCGGAGTACATTTCCATTGACTAACGCTTACCCTAAACCTATTTATGCATGTCTATGGTAAGCAAGTGATCCCTCCCTAGATGGATTTGGGCACAGTACCGGGTGAGTTCACAGTTCTTTGTGTTCAGTGGATAAATGGAAGGCAAATGCATTCAGATCAATACTATGCCATGAGAGGGCCCCATGAGTGTGTGAGAGAGGAGGGGGAATTGGTGGAATTGGACAATGGAGCCACTGATTAATCATTCCTGTGCTGTTATTGACTTTCTGTTAAAGGGGTGAGTCAGAACCGAATTTATGTGAGTGTGTGTGTGTGTGTTTACTTTCCAGTACTTTAGGTACAAATTTGTTTGCAGTGTGCGAAATCTAATAAAACCTTTAAGGATGCCCTCAGAAAAAAATATACATACATATAGTAAATAATATACAGTATATACACACACACTACCATCAAAAGTTAAGCGTCGGTAAGATTTTGTACAGTAATATTGTGAAATATTCTTACAATTTAAACTAACTTTTCTATTTTAATATGTAATTTATTCCTATAATATCAAAGCTGAATATTCAGCGTCAGTCTTCAGTGTCACATGATCCTTCAGAAATCATTTTAATATGCTGATTTGCTGCTCAAGAAAAAATGTTTTATTATCAATGTTGAAAACAGTTGTGCTGCTTAATATTTTTGTGGACGCATTGATAAAAAAAAATCCAAGAATTTTTGATGAATTAAAAGTTCAAAAGCATTTATTATTGGAAATATAAATATTTGTAATATATTTTTGTAATATTATAAATAATGTCTTTACACTCACTTTTGATCAAATCAATGCATCCTTTCTGAATTAAAGTAAGACTTTCAAATGATAGTCTATTTTAAAAATAAGAACATAAACATTATATATGCTGAAATATTAATTGTTTTTAAGTGCATGTCAGTATTTGTTGAGAAAAGCCTGCAAATAAAGATAATTTAAAGACAATGAATTATTGTGGTTATTTCTGGTTTTGGTTGTATTTTTTTGTAGATTTCAGTTTTGGTAAAGTTTTAATAATAGAGAAAAAACAGAATAATATTCCACCAATCAAAAGGCAGAAAAAGTGATTACAGACCATCTTGTCGCATTGGTTTATTTTGACAGTGCAACTGCGACCTGCCGTCTGATCCCTAAAGATACCACCAAACCTATTAACATAATCATATAAATATGTGTATAGAAGGACCACTTTAGCAATCATGGATAGTAAAAGGACTATCAAACATTACATAAGTCTTGTTTTCACTTGACTCCAGTGAACTAACCGTTGGTTTGCTGTTCAATAAACATTTCTTATTATTATCAATTTTGAGAACATTTGTGATGCATTATTAATTTAATTTATTAATTAATTATTTTATTGTGGAACTATGATATTTTTCAGGATTCTTTGCTGAAAATGAAAAAGGAACAGCATTTATTTGATTTTTTGTTCTTGTAATATTATAAATGTAATATAATACTGTGACTTGTTGAATAGAAGTATTAACTTTTTAAAAAAAAAATCTTACTGACACTTTTGAATGGTAGTGTGTATATATAATTTTAATATATATATATATATATATATATATATATATATATATATATATATATATATATATATATATATATATATATATAAATAAAATACATAATTCATTTCCCCACAAATAATGTAATTTGTATGTGATATTTTGGAAGGCGTCTGAATGGTTTTTCACACAGGATGAAGAGTTTGTGCGTTAACAGTACATGATAATGGCCATTCCATGAGGGGTTAAATACAGACACATATCAGCCTACCAGACACAACACAGGAGGTCGTCGGTCAAGAGTTGGGGGGGAAGGGACGTGTCACATTTCCCTGGCTTTGACATCTAACCTTCTGGCTGTGACCTTGAACATTGTCTGAAAGGGCAGACGGAGCACAGCGGAGCACAAAAAAAAGATATCTATGAAAAAGTTCAGGCCCTATCATAATACAGAAATGCGCTCGTTAAAATTACAAATGATTTACTTCTTCTGGCCAAGGCTGCATCTCAATACTAGTTTTACTTGATCTTAGTGATGCGTTTGACACTATTGATAATATGGATCATGACATACTCTTATATCAATTGCAAAATTACACCGGTATCCAGGGACATGCATTAGGATGGTAAAAATCGTACCTATCTGACTGTTACCATATAGTCAAACGTGGAATCATCCAAGTTAACATCTGTAAATTCTGGAGTGCCGCAAGGGTCTGTTGTAGGCCCTCTGCTATTTCCAATATACATACTGCCTCTGTAATATTATTATAAAACATGGAATGAGTTTCCACTGTTATGCCGATGATACTCAATTTAGAGATTTAATCTAGTCGTGATGAAATAACTATCCAAGTTGAGTGAGAAAATAGTGGATGACCAGTAATTTTCTTCTATTAAATTTGGATAAGACTGAGGTATTATTTATTGGACCAAAAACCTCTACACAGAATCTCTTAAAATACAATTTGCATCTAAGGATGTACTGTTACTTCATTATACAGTTAAAGACCTAGGTGTTATAGACCTGGGTAGACAGCAACTTTCGATAATCATATTTCAAATGTTACAAAAACAGCCTTCTTCCACCTCAAAAATATTGCTAAGCTATGGAACATGCTATCGGTTTCGGATGCAGAAAAGACAGTTCATTCAGACCTCTAGACTGGATTAGTGTAATGCTGTAGGTGGTTGTCCTGCATGCATCCTCAATAAACAAACTACAGTTAGTCCAAAATGCAGCTGCTAGACTTCTCACCAGGTCAAGAAAATATGATCATATAACTCCAATTTTATAATCTCTACATTGGCTACCTATTAAGTTTTGTATCGATTACAAAGTATTGCTACTGACCTAAGGCCCTAAATGGTTTAGCTACTGTGTATTTAACCAATCTTCTATCGCCCTACAATCCATCATGCTCAAGGTCACAAAACTCTGGACTTTTGGTAGTACCTAGAATATCTGGTAACACTTTATTTTGATGGTCCCTTTTGTACATTCTGTTAACTAAAAGTAACTTTGCAACTACATGTGAACTAACTCTCATTAAAGTATTAGTAGACTGTCTGCTTAATATCTGCTAACACTTTACTGTGTTGGTCCTCCAACAGACATTCTACTGACTATAAGTAACTTTGCAAGTACAAGTACAACTTATTCTAACCCTAACCCTACCAGTCTACTAATACTCTACTAACACTCTAATGAGAGTTAGCAGACATGTACAGTAGGTGCAACGTTACTTATAGGCCCTAGTCAATAGAATGCGTTACACGGACCACCAAAATAAAGTGAAACTGGATATCTAAGTCCACTAAAGGAGGGAGAGTGTTTTCGCATTTGGCTCCTAAACTCTGAAATAGACTTCCTGATAATGTTCAAGGCTCAGACACACTCTACCAGTTTAAATCTAGATTAAAGACATCTCTTTAGCCACGTATTAACATAATGCTCCTCATAACATTGTACTCCAGTTATATCAGACGAAATCTTTTGCTTGAAATGTTATCAACAGTAGCTACGCTAATTATGTTCCACTTGCTTTTCTGTTTCTACCTCGGGATTCCAAGGTAACTAGAGAGTACGCCAGCTCCAGTTTGAATCCAGCCTCTTACAAAGATTTCAGATGCCCCACCACCTGTGAAGTGAAGATGGCAACCCCTGTGAGGATTTCAGATGATGCCAACTCTGAATCAACATGCACCCGTGCCAAATGTTCTATATATTGTAATCATGATGATCACAACTTGTAATAATTGCTTTAATGAGATCATTTTTTCTGCCTAAATTAATACATGATATTAGCTAACTGCATGATTGGTATTATCTAAGAACGGTACATTTTTGACATATGGACATTACTATGACTAGAGTCACCTCTGATAACAGAGATCACTCTTAATTGTAATGTAGAAACCTGCATTTTTCTGTAAAGCTGCTTTGAAACGATATGTATGAAAAGCGCTATACAAATAAATGTATTGTTCTCTGTTTTTCTGATAAACATCAATCATGTCAACTTTAACCGGTTAACTTTACATAACCATTCGAATCCACTGGCAGAAAGGGTCAGGCTGAAATCTACAGCTCGGTGTAAAGCCAACAAACAAAGTTCACAGAGTAACTCTTTTTCCAGTATTCAAAAATTGTCATCATATTAATTAGGAAACACTACAGCTGAAGTGCTATCAAAAATAATTTAAGAGCCAAACATGCTCTCACTGTGACCAAACCAAACAGTGAAACTGAATACATCATGCTACAGTGCAAATCTACTCGTCTTATATAATTTCTACACCAATGTTTTCTATTAAACTTCTCCTTGAACTTGAACAATGCACAAGTGTTTGCGCTTGATCTGTTTCCTGACCTCTCTTTGCTCAAAGCAAAAGTCTTGAGGAGGGGAACCATGGTTACGGCTTTCATCTTAAAGTGTAGTTCCTCAACACTCCATGTACTCAAAAGCCACAGCTGCTTTTTCACCAACCATCTCTTTCATTGCCACTGGACCAGTCAAAAATAGTCATTTTCCTTATCTATTCCTCCATAAAAAGACAAATGCAAACGCTCCAATTACTGTCCCTCAAAGGTTTTTCAAACTATTTTCGTTTAAAAAGAAATACTTTTATTTAGCAAGGATGCATTAAAATGTTCAAAAATGAGCAGTAAAGACTTTTACATTGTAAAACAAATTCTATTTAAAAACAAATCCTGTTCATTTGAACTTTCTATTCATCAAAGAATCCTGACAAAAAATGTATCAAGGTTCCCAGCAAAATATTCAGTATAGCACAACTGTTTTCAAAATTGATTTAATACGAAATTTCTCTTGAGCACCAAATCAGCATGATGTAATGATGCTGAAAATTCAGCTATGCCATCGCTGGAATAAATTACATTTTAAATATTAGTAATAATATTTCAAAATATTATTGTTTTACTGTATTTTTTTTTTATTCCCAAACTTTAACGGTACTGTGAAATAAGAAAAATACTTTGAGACCCTCTTATTTCATTTATTCCATCTGATTTTAAAAATAAAGCAAAACACTCATGCGGTCGATTTGCTATGTTAACAGCAAACACACATGTCTAATAACCCGAAGACGGAAGAAGCGATTACAATTTAACTTATGACAATATGAAGGTCTAATAAAACTTGGTTTTACAAGAATGAAATGTATTGGACTAGCTGTCAAAGCTGTAAGTTTTCCAAGAAGGAAACAGCATAAATCTCCATAATTTCAAACATTTTAAAACCATTAAGGAGACTGTTAAGAGTGTCTTCTCATGTAATGAAGCTCAAATCTTCAGTCCTGGATTTTGAAATTTCAACAATAAATGCAATGTAGTTGATCAAACAAATCTAAATACAACAATTTATCATTAATTCAGATGTCAAAATAAACCTAGTTTCTCATTTGTTTATTTTTTTCTAAATGGACTAAAATATCATTCAAATCCTTTAAAACTCTGCCTCTCTTTTCCCTGATTCCAAGAAGAGCATAAAGACATTGAGCTTTGGGGACAGAGTGTGACATAAATAACATTTTCTGGGGGAGCGCGCTGAAACACACACACACCAAGAAATAAGAGCAGGATAACAGCCTGGACAGTGTAGGATTAGAGGATAAGATAGCAGAGACAGGCAGGAGATAGGGATGCAGACATGAACAAGGAGCAGACACAGATGGGAGAGAGAGGCAGAGAAAGGTATCTCCACAAGAAAGACGGGGATACAACACAAATAAAAGAGCACTGAGGACACAGGAACAAAGGTACAATTGAAAAGCGTGTCGACCCTGAAGCTGCAGGCCATATGTTCAACTGAATTTCTAAAGTTAAAACCAAATATCGCCCTGCTTACGCTGGTGAATGTGTACATAATACCCCAGTTTGCATATCTGCACGCTTGTGAATCAGTGCATGTGGCTACCTGTGAGGGTTCATGAGTGTACATATTGTGCGTGGCTTATGTCGTTGCCGCCTGGGTTATGTTTCCCTATTTTACTTCAATTTAGTGGATCTAAGAGAATGGTTCACTAAAAAAAACAATCATAAAGGTTTGAAAAAGACAATGACGAGTGTCAATTTTTCATTTTTGGGTGCTGGATACTTTTGAATGAGCAGAGGACATTTGGTGTCGATAAGATGTTTAATGTTTTTGAAACAACACCTACAAAGGATGCATGTATTTGATCAAAAATACAGTAAAAACACTAATATTGTGAAATATTGTTACAATTTAAAATAACTGTTTTCTATTTGAATATATTTTAAAATGTAATTTATTCCTGTGATGCAAAGCTGAATTTTCAGCATCATTACTCCAGTCTTCAGTGTCACATGATCATTCAGAAATCATTCTAGTATGTGATTTGGTGCTCAAGAAACATTTCTTATTATTATCAATGTTGAAAACAACTGTGCCGCTTAATATTGTTATTGAAACCATGATAAAAAGATTTCAGCATTCTTTGATGAATAAAGTTTAAAGATCAGCATTTATCAGTGTATAAATGTGTTTACGGACACATCCTTGCTAAATAAAAGAATAGATCTTACTGACCTCAAATGGTAATGTATAGGTACTCCCTCTTTACTTTATCAGAGCTGAGTGAAATGGGCGGCATCTGGTAATAAGAAAGATCTTCAACATAAATCCTACACAAACACAAGCACCAGACGGCAAGAGTGAATAGTGCATGTGGCTAGATTTATATAACACAAACACACACATACAGCTTTTCCTCATTTTCACCCAACCCCCTACACCTCAGTCGTCTTAGCAGGAGAGAGGGGAAACAAAGAAAGAATGAGAGGATGCGAAACAATTTCATGTCGGAAAAGTAAAAGGTCGAAAATTGAAAATC